TGTGTTTGGATTTTTACAAGGAAGACAAATTTTACTTCTGATTTGTGAGATGCATGTTTTCTACTTAATTACCAGTTGGAAAAAAGAAGGTAGTGAATGAATAGGCAGGACATTTCTAATGAGCCTTTGCTATTTTCTTATTATATTTTAACAGAGAATTTATTGTTCCCTGAAATTATATTTGCCAGTTGACACAGACTGTGACAGGATGGTGGCAAATTTGAGAGCAAGAAAACTTCTAATCAGAGGAATGCAGTCAGGATTTAGATAAGTCTGATCTAATCTGCTTAACTTTCTGAGAGAACATCTTGATTCTGTGCTTTGATTAACATCATATCCAGTCAACGAATAAACTTCACTCAGATGACCAGTATGCTGGGTGAGAGAGAAACAAGATTCTTAGTCTGTAAGACTGGATAGCTTCGTAACAAGATACCAATATTTGAACCGTAAATCATTCAGCATCCATATTTCTACAGAGACACAAATGTTTATCTGATAATTACAGTTTTTCCTTTCCCCAAAGTGGTACAAAGGAGTCATTCACAATGCTTCTTTTCGGGAGATCACTTTTAAGGCAGTGCGTTCTGTAACACTCAGCACTATGCTAGAAAAGCAATGGTCTGTGTTACGAGGAAATAAAGATGATTCAGATAAAGGTTGCTTTCGATTTTATTTGATTTTTTTGCTGAACGTGTAACTGTAACTCCATGTTCCAGTAATAAGTTTTTATAGTTCTAGAAACTTCTGAACTCTGTGTCAATTCTTTTATTATGAGGAATGGTATTAAAGATAATTAATTCTAAGGTGGGCATGGTGGCACACATCTGTAAGCCCAGCACTTGGATGTAGAGGCAGGGGGATCAGAAGCTTAAGACCACCATGGTGGTGTGAAGCAGAATAGCCCCTTAGATTCATATATTTGAATGTTTGGTTCTTAACTGATGGACTGTTTAGGAAGGATTAAGAGGTGTGGCCTTTTTGGAAAAGGGAGTGGCTTTGAGGCTTAGATACCTCACTCTAGGTCTAATTTCTCTCTCTTTCTGCCTTCAATTTGCAGATGAGATATAAGCTTCAGCTACTTCTCCAGCACCAAGCCTGCCTGCCTGCTGCAGGGTTCCCCACTATCATGGTCATGGACTCACCTTCTGAAACTGTAAACGAGCCTCCAATTAAAAGTTTTCTTTTATTAGTTGCTTTAGTCATGGTGTCTCTTCACAGAAAGAGAGCTGTAACTGAGACAGTCCTTCTCATGGACGTAGTTTAGTGCATTTGTAGTCAGCCTGGGCTACATGAGACCTTGTTTATAGTTTAGTGCATTTGTAGTCAGCATGGGCTGCATGAGACCTTGTTTAAAAATAAAAAGAAAATCTGGGCTTGGTGATGGCATACTCTTTCAATCCCAGCATTTGGGATGCAGAAGCATGAGAATCTCTGTGAGTTCAAGGCCAACCTGGTCTATATAGTAAGTTCTAGGCCATCCAGGATTACACAAAGAGATACTGTCTCAAGAAAAAAAAAAGATGATTAGTTCTGTTTTTAAAGTTGAAATTCTCATGCAAGAAATAAGAAAATTATTATAAATATAATAATATTATAATATATAAATATTATAAGAACATTATACAAAATATAAGAAAATGTAGCTGGACTGTGGAGGCCCAAAAATGCAGGCCCATTTCCACCTTGTCTGACTGTCAAGAGAGTTTAGAGACTGACAGGCATAATTGCACCTCCTCATTCAGGAGGTGGTTACCTGGCTCTTTTGAAATTAAGACAGCTCAATGCCATCCTGACAGGTGGTTAGGATACACAAATGTACTTCTGTTGCTTCTGTTGTAACTATGAAGTCACCTAGGGAAGGGTGGTGTTCAGTGTACCTGACCTAAAGCATCTTAGCTACCCAGATGACAGAATGCTAATGATTTGATATCTCAGAGTGATAAGGCCATTGACTGTGTGAGTTATCCCATGTATCATGCTAATAAAGTTTTTGTTACCTTCTCCTCTAGTTTAAATTGGGTACAAAACTCATGGAAAAATAAACATGGGTAAATTTCAGGATTTCAGTCGCTGGAATACCCTCTCGATGCGTTCTATGTTTTCTGTCTTATTATTTTTAAGTCTTCATAGTCTTTACATATATTTCTTCAATTCCCACGCCCCTACCTTGGTAAGAAGTATTTTTGTTGATGCTGGTCCTCAACACCAGACAGAAGAATATATGTTTTTATTTATTCTATCAAATCTGTATAGAAAGCACTATGTTTGTGGTGTGGTTGCAAATAGTGGTAACCTTACTATAGGTGAGCAGACATTAATCACTTAAGAATTTTATACGCTAGAGTGAGGAAATAGGTAAGAAAAATACACCAGTAAGTATAAAATAATAAAGCAATCAGTGTGAAATGCCATTGAGAAAGACCAAAAGGAAAAATGAATAGTGTTGACGGGAGGGGATAATGTTCTTATGTGACTGCTATGGTTGTGCCTTCTGGAGGAGGGATGCAGCATGGAAACTTGGATCCTGCCATTATTGCCTGTCACCATACCCTTGCATATGTCATTACTATGGCATTTAACCAAGGCTAAGCCAATGGGTGAGTAAATATGTTGTTGAACGAATTCCTCCTTTAACCTATGTATTCTTTCTTTTCACCATACTTTTTGTGTTTGGCACCTAAGTTGTTGATATGTTTATTATTGAGAACCAGCCTCACTCATCTAGAGTGTAACCTGCACCAAAGTAAAGCATAGTAAAGAGTTGTTAAATGAATGAATGGTATGCTATGTCTTCCCCTTAAGAAACAAAATAGCTACTAGGTTGAGACATGTGGATTTTCTTTGCTGGGTTGGGCAACTACTTCCTGTCAGCAACATTCATCCTGAGTCCTACTCTTACAAATTCACAATTTTTGTACTTATGAGTATAAAATAAAATGCTTTCAGTGAAGATCCTGAAGAGAAAATTCTGGGCAAAACAAAATATATTAACTCTATAATTATTCAACTTTCAGCTAAAATATATTAACTCTATAATTTTCAACTTTCAGTGGCACAGCTTTTCTTTAAAAATTTTTCAATGGGGGCTTGATAAAGGGAATTACAATATTCATCAGTATTTAGAAAAATGAGAAAAGAGTTTATGAATAGAGGTGAAATGGGTCTTTGCAGCAGACTAGATGAGAGGACTCTACAGACTGTAAGGTACTTTGTACAAATGTGTTTGGTTATTGGTGTATATTTAAAATGCAATCAAGGGAGCGGGAGGGAGAAATAAGGGTTCTGTGGGCTATGTGGGTAGGTAATGAGGGATGATTAGAATACACTGTTTGAATGTAGTAAACTGCCAAATAACAAATAAAATATTTTCATAAGAGCAACAGATAACTTTAAAGCCATTTTCTGGCAGAAAAATCTTTAGGTTGTATACAGTATTAAGAATTTACAGTTATTTATAGTTATATATAATCCTAACACAATAAGTAACACTTACCTGCTTCACTGCGAGTTAATACAATTTTAATTTATCTCCTTTGTCCCTTTTCTTCCCTTTCCTTACTAGAACCATAGAGAAGACCACATGATAAAATTTGTTGCTTTGGAGGCGGGATTCCCTGAATGTGGCTGACCCGAAGTCTTTCTAAAAAGCCATTGACAATGACTCTGGGACTTGTTTCCTCTGCATATTCTGGATTTTTTGGGATCCAGTCTGTTTGGATATTCACCTTCCTGGACCTGGAGGGAGCGGGGAGGAACTTGAACTACCCACAGGGCAGGAAAACCGGACTGCTCTTAGGGATGGAGAGGGAAGAGGAGAGGGAGTGGGGGGAGTGGGAGGGTGTTGGGAGGGGGGGCGAAAATGGAAACTTTTATATTTTAATAAACTTTAAAAAAAAATTGTTGTTTTGTTTTGGAGACAAGGTTTCTCAGTATGACAGCCTTGAATGTCCTGGAACTCACTTTAGAGACCAGTGCTGGGGTTAAAGGTATGAGCCACCATGCCTGGATCAACCAAGCATCACTTAAACCCATTTTTTTTCTAAACTTTAGTTTAGTTATAACTTTAACAAAACCAAATGTCATCTCTTAAGTCACAGCACCGTTTTGCATCCCACAAAGAAATGGACTGACAATGTTGTCATGAGAAAAGCTACACAGGAAATACAATGGAGGAAAGTGGAACTATACCCTTTAGAAACAAAATAGTTAAATTGAGCACTTAAAAAAAACATTATGCCCATTTTGGCCTATAGTTTTAGAACTAGCTAGCAGATGCCTTCACAAGTTCTCAGAATCATGGCAGCTTTTGCTTACTCATATTTGCATGGTAAACGGTGCAGACCCCACTCACCTTCTCTATCAGCAACTGTTTTATCATGGTTGTTAGTTTCCAGGCCACAGTTCCTGCTATTGTGGCTCTTCAAGTGTGGCTTCACAGCTTCTGCATTAAGAGGAGGCATGTCAAAGAAAGCTCCATGGCTGCCAGGAACAGTTGCTGCTCCATAGCCCTGTGATTGGGTTCATTTCAGGTCATCCTTGTTTAATTCTGTCTTTAGATTATCTGTATCTTCAATTTCTATTTTTTTATCTTATACTTATATAAGAGGAGGATTTATACTTACACATATACATATATAATATATATATAAACAACATATTATTTCTCAAAACAAAACATTGTTCTCAATGCAGCAGTCATGTGAAAAAATAATGCTCTTTATTTGTAAAAATCTTTATTTATTACCATGCTAGCACACCATCCCTTTAAATGCCTATTTGCACAGACTTTTGCCTGTTGCCAGACATTTGTTTTATACCTGTAATTAAAAATTCAAGGCCAACCTGGACAGCTAAAGACGCTAAGAATATTTCTATGTGTCAAAATGAATAATACGATTGTATCTAGAAATGTAATAATGAAGTTGGAAAAGCCACACTAATGCCATAAAATAAATCACTTTAATAATTAATATATATAAATAGTTCATGGTGGAAACAATAAAGTAAAATCAACTCTGTACACTCACAAATTTACAAAAATTTAAAAATATATTTATCGTCTTACATTCAAATAATGGTGAAAAACTGAAGCTGTATTTTTTTCTGAATGAGTTTCCTTTTATATTTTATGAACATACATAATATAACAGTGATTTATGGCATGACAGTGCTTAATAACTTTAAAGAATTGGAATACAATTCTTACTTAGAAACTAATTAATTAAAATAATTAAAATCACCTGCATAACTTCTTTTGAAAAATAAATTAGGCACTTTCTCCTGAAATTATTGTCCTATTAAAGTGTTTGGGATGTAGTTACATTCATTTCTGGCAATGCCCAGACATTATCTGCTGTTGCTTTAAGTAGGATGAGATGAGGTGCAAGCTGTTCACTACGAGAAGCGATAAAGACAGCACAAAGTAGAATTAGTTTAAAAGCCCAAGTTGCATATGATACCGATAAAATTTTTCTCTTAGAAATACTGTTCTTAGGCCTTTGAGGTAACACAGTCTTTCACTGTATCAAATGTCATTTTTAATCACGTTACGCTGTGATTTCCATCCTCTACAGGTCACCGTCCCTATTGCAAATCAAAGCATTCTGTTTTGTCAACAGACTAATCATTGACAGGACAGAGAGAAATAAATAACTGTATTCTGTTCTCTGTGTGGTCTACAGAAGCAATGCCTTTGGCACTCAGGAGGATAGTTTGGTCCACACCGGCAGCCAGGTGCCAGAAGCCGCTGGCAGAGAGCAAACTGAAAATAAGCCCGCGGGGACTGGCAGTGGTATTTCTGAGGCAAATGCTTTGAATTACCTAGAAACCAGGCAATTTAAGCTTAACCAAGTCAGAAAGTCTTGCACTCAGCCGGCAGTAACACTTGGGTGGCATTTTGTTGAAGAGTGTGCTGCCGGTTCTTTTCTCGTCCTCGCTTTACTTTTCTTTTGCTTTCTCCCAGCTTTGGTTTTGTTTGTTTTCTTTTTCTTGTTTTCCTCTTTATACCACGGGCCCCAGACTCCTCCATTGAGTCGAGGGTTGCTTCTGGGATCCTTCGGGGGATACCTGACTGGCACGGCCGTCTTGTTGAACTGTGACAGCCTCCGCAGCAGCTTCTTCACTATGCCAGGATACCGGCTGGAGAGGTCCACCCTCTCGTATGGATCGGCTGTGATGTTGAAAAGCCAGATACTTTTGCCAGTTGCTAAGGTAATCCTCTCGTTGTGCCATCGGTTTGGGCCCAGATTGCTGAAAGCCTGAGGGGGGACCCAGTCACTGTAGCCAGGGTTTCCTGTGAGCAGCTTCCAGTGTTGCACCCGGATGGCTGACTGGATTGCTGTGTTCCAGATTCCGTAGCCTGCTGCCCAGGAGCCATTTTTCGCCTTGGTGTAAATGGGGTCAATGTTGTGCAAGATATCCACTCGGGGTGAACGAAGACCTTCGCTTATCGTCTCCCAGATATCGTACCCATCTAGCTGAATGTCTTCATCAATCTGCCCTTCTGCCAGTGAAATCAGGGTTGGGTACCAATCTGTGATGTGCACAAGTTCCTTACACACCGTTCCCTTGTTTTTCAGAAGAGGACTGTGCACAAAGCCAACTGCCCGGATGCCCCCTTCCCAATACGTTCCTTTGCTACCTCTGAGAGGCCAGTTACTTCCTCCTGCTGTGGGTTGTCCACCGTTATCTGAGGAGTATATGATAATGCTATTGTTATAGAAACCATACTGCTTTAGAGCCAGGGTCACATTGTGGATTGCTTCATCCAAGCAGGAGAGCATGGCTGCGTACCTTCTCCTGTTTATGTTGATAATGGATCGGTAGTGTTCAAAATACCTGCCAGGGGCTTGCAGGGGTGAGTGCACAGCTTGGTAAGCAACATATAAAAATATAGGTTTAGCGGGGTCATGGGAAGCTAGGATTTGCTGCACTCTCTGAGTATACATCTGTGTTGAATATATGCCATTGTCATAGTCCCAAGCAGCATTATCATTTTCATATAAGTCATAGCCACACATTCCGGGACTGTCACATTTGTAGTGTGTATAATAATCTCCGCTTCCCAAAAGGGAGCCAAAGAAGGTATCAAATCCTCTCTTAGTGGGCATGCATTCTTTCCTGTAAAACCCCAAGTGCCATTTCCCAACCATATGAGTTGAATAGCCGACCTCCTTCAGCTTTTGAGGTAGGGTTGCGTTGTCTAGAGGTAGACAGTTGGGTTGGGTAGGTCTGATGATAGAATGCTGGAGTCCTGTGTGGATCTGGTACCTTTAAGGAAAGAGTAAACATCTTGTCAAGGCAGGGTAAAAGGAACATTCTCCATACAGATGATTCTAAAATTATAAAGTTTCTATGAAGATCAACTCAACCTCAAAATAGACAGGATCAGTTCTATCTCGTTTCAAAGCTTTAATTTGGCTTCATACTTAACAGGTGAAGTAAATTTTCAGCACGTTGGCAACTAAGATTTTTACCGCTTATCTCAAAGTCTTTTTAAAGTCCTTACAACGGAAGGAATGACAATAAAATTTAGTCTTTTAATTACACGACAGAGTGCTAGCGAGATAGAGAAGGATGCACAGACTTGGAGTATTATATGTCACAGTAGCTTCTGAGAGCATATGTTGCAAACTAACTCTTATGTTCTACAACACAGGCAGAATTATTATGAAAAGGTCTCCCGGTAGCTTGTCAAGCATCATTTCACACTTCATCCCAGACCCGTTGAATCTCTGACAAAGGAAGTGGCTTTGACTGCTTATACCAAACCTTGGTGTTTGTAGCTAGGGTTGGCAACAGTTCTTCCAGTACCACAGGAAGTAAATGTGCTTCTGCTGACCTGGGTCTCCTCTGCCACCACCAATAAATCACTTAGAATGGAATCTAAGAAAGCAAGGTAACCTTTCTATATTAAAATGACAAGGAAGCTAGTTTCCAGAATTTTTCCCTACACGTTTTCCCAAGAGATTTCCCCGTGTGAATTGGTTGCTATCATATTAAACATGTGAGCCTCATGTGAATCCCTTTATACCTGTTAATTCGTGATACTTTAGAAAGGAATTGACAGAAGCTATCGCATATTCCCTAAATAACTTTTAAAGTAGAACAGAAACACAAAGGGTATAAAAACAGTTAGGGTAAACATGAAGGCGTTCTTGGAATCAAATGAATTGTAAAGAGGAAAACTAAGACAGAAAATCCACCCTTGGACTGGGAGATGGTTCAGTAGGTAAAATGAAAGCCTGAGTTTAGAGACCCAGAGGCCATATAGGAAAAGATGAGCATGGTGGCTTTTGTGTGTAACCCCAGCACAGGTGGGGCCAGGCAGATCCTTGGAGCTAGGTGGCCAGATGTCTAACTGATTCACTGAGCTCCCCAGTATGCACACACATAGACCTCACAGAACACACACACACACACACACACACACACACACACACACCCAAAAGCCCCCCAAACAGAAACCCTTTGTCCATATAGTGATGTATTTTGCAAGGGTGACATATCTTACATACTTTGGGTGACTAGTTTGATTTGTGTTTAAATGCTTAGCAGGTAATGTCATCATGCATGTGTGAACTCTTGAGTACTGATGGCACATGCATGCTGATGAGTTAGGCGGCACTGTGGTGACCACTTCTCACTCTTCAAAGCTGCTTTTGCATCTGCCCTTTACTCCACTCATCATTAGTAGTTAGCATGTTACAGCAATCACAGTCACGGGAGCTTAAGATGGATATACTCGTAAAGACCTTACACAAGTGTTGTTATACATTCAGTTCAGAAGGTGTTCTTCATAATTTTGGTCCAGTTTAGGATCCATAACAATCACTTGTCATGAAGTGACCACCAATGTAAACTTGGAATAAAACTGAAGGGGGAGAAGTCTTTATTTGTAAAAATTTTAGCAACAATTCACAGGGATACATTATTAAATAAATAGTTATCGTACAAAGATCTCATCCTTAATCTGAATGGCTATTTAATTGTTCAGAAGGTCAAAAATTTTAAGTTTTGTAATTAAATTGATTATTTCTTACCTAGTGGTAAAGTAAAAAGATGATTATCAAAATATGAAAAAATGTTCTGGGTTGGGGAGAGGAGGGAAGGGAAAATAGAGGAGGGGAGAGGAAGGGAGAAGAGAGAAAACTGCTTTCAGGAGACAGTGTAATGTTGACAGACCAGAGTCCTAGGGTCACTAGTGAACCAAGAGGTTTCTGCCTCTCTGGAAAGTAGAACGATTTCCACGTTGGGAAATGTAGAGTCAGTAACACATAGGCTTGCCATCAACTCATAACAAATGTGAAATTCCTCAAGTCAGTTTCTCTATTGGTAGTTCAGAGACTCAGACTACTGCTGAGTTGGGAACAGAATGTGGGTCCCTATCAGGTGCTAACATCTGACATAGCTGAGTTTGGATTTCCAGTTACCTGTGAGACTGGGGGCAGACATTAACTCTCTGATCTTCAGTTTTCTCATCAGAAACACTGGGTGGTGAGATATGTTGGGGCGTGGTAGGCCCTGGAGAGGAGCATAGAGTCTAGGTTTAGGAGAGCAGTTTAGTAAATGGTAACTGTCACAGTGCCTACCTCAAAGTGTAGAGTGCTGTATTATGACACATTTATAGAAAGTTTTACAGATTTTCTTTCTAATGTCCAATTGCACCGCATCCTCCATACTGCAGTGAGGGCAAGTCACACTCGGTGTCTTCATTTCATGACCGGGAAAGCAGAGGGGCAGAGAGCTTTGGTGTTTTCTGTTTGTATTTTTTAATTGATTTTATTGCACTGTATATTTTTTCTCTGCTTCTCGCCCTTCCTCCCCTCTTCCCTTCTACTCTCTCCCATGACTCCCTCACTTGTAATTTACTCAGGAGGTCTTGTCCTTTTCTCCTTCCTATTTAGACCCACGTATGTCTCCCTTAATGTCCTCTTTGTTGTCTAGGTTCTCTGGGGTTGTGGACTGTAGGATTCTTTATCTTTGCTTTATGTCTAAAGCCACTTATGAATGAGTACATATTATATTTTCTTTCTGGGTCTGGGTTATCACACTCAATATGGTTTTTTTTCTAGATCCATCTATTTGCCTGAAAATTTCAAGATAGCATTATTTTACTTCTCAGAAGAGAAAGTGGGATGTACACTTGAATATATTGACACAGGAGATCACTTTCTCAATATAATCACAGTAGCACAGACAGTGAGAACAACAATTAATAAATGAGACCGCTTGAAACAGAGAAACTTCTGTAAAGCAAAGGAGCAAAGGACATGACCAACAAGACAAAACGGCAGCCTACAGAATGAGAAAAGATCTTCATCAACCCCACATCGGACAGATGACTGTTCTCCAAATTATACAAAGAACTCCAGAAACTTGATGTCAAAAGAACAAATAATCCAATTAAAAAATGGAATAAACTTAAACAGAGAACTCTTAACAGACGATCTCAAAGGGCTGAAAGACACTTAAGGAAATGCTCAACATTCTTAGCCAATAGACAAATGAAAATCAAAACAATTCTAAGATACCATCTTATACCTGTCATAATGGCCAAGATCAAAAACACTGATGATAGTCTCTGCGAGAGAGGATGTGGGGTAAAGGGAATATTCCTTCATTGCTGGTGGGATTGCAAACTTGTACAGCCACTTTGGAAATCAGTATGGCAATTTCTCAGAAAATTAGGAAACAATCTACCTCAAGACCCAGCAATACCATTTTTGAGTATATACTCAAAGAAAACTCAACCATACCACAAAGACATGTGCTCAATTATGTTCATAGCAACATTATTTGTAATAGCCAGAACCTGGAAACAACCTAGATGCCCCTCAACCAAAGTATGGATCAAGAAAATGTGGTACAGTTACACAATGGATTTGTGGTGTTTTTATGAATTGCCTTAACTTCCCACCAGGCTGTGATACTGATTTTGAAGTAGCATGACTAAGTCTGTTACTCACTCAGTGTTTTAAATTATTAGTTACTATGAGTACTTCTGAAAACATCCAGGGGCCGTCAAAAGTGAACCAGATAGTGAGGCTTACACCTATCCCAGAAGTAATTGAGAAAAATTTTGAAGTAGATGAATAATTGGGCATTTTGAGCAGGACCCATTTGGGCAAAGGAAAAACAAAGTGCTTTCCTGCATCTCATGCCTCTACCCCACCCGACATGTGACTTTTTCCCTTCCTAAAGTTTTGCTATTTCCTAGGTTGTCCCAATCAAGATACCACTAACAGTGGAGGCAACTTAAAGGTACAACTCTTCCTGTCCCAAGATCAAGTGGTGATGGAAACAGTGCTTGCCAGTCATTTGGAAAGCGAGCTGCTGTTTCTCTTTGTTCTTTCTCTGGTCAAGAACGTTGGTAGATTGTTTTAATTGAGAACAGGAAGGGGAAGAAATACTTGCCTGACTATTTGGGATGAGCCTGACTTTCACTTGACAGCAGCAACCATCTGGAAGACAAGCCAAATAACTTCAAAATATACCACCGCATCCTGAGTGAAGGGAAGGTAGTTTCTTTTTTGATTTCAACTCATTGAGGGATGATCCTAAAAGACAGCCTATTAATCAAATGACAAACTGGAACTCTGTGGGATGATACTGAACTGGAGGAAGGTCTGGGAAGTAAAAAGCACAGACTTAAGTCATTCCAACCAAAGATATGAGATGTGAATTTAATACAAGATCACGTAGTTCAAAGCAGGGTCTCAAAGGAGTACTTCCAGTTTGACAGGAATTAAGGGGAGATGACGAGGCGATGAAATGTGTGATCCTGAAAGAAAGTGAGGAAAATCAGAGAGCTAAAAGAGCTAAAGCAAGTCTGAGGAGTAATTGAGAACTATGTTGATTTCTGAATTTGATAGATGTTTGTGTCTAATAATGAAGAAAAATTGTCATTCCTAGAAAAGATGAAGTGTGATAAGTGTGATGGTGTGTTGTTGGAAATACATAGCAAAGTATGAGCGGTGGTGAATCCTCAAGCTAGTAAGTAACTTTTAAAACGGTTCAAGTAAAAAGCATTTCAGGCTATCCCTGCCATTTCCTATAAATATGAGATAGGCTCAAGTACAATAAAAGTATATAAAAACAACTGTAATGACTGAAAAATATTTCTGTTAGAATTGCAACTAGTTTAATGAGTATAAGTGACCAAGGAATTAGAACCCTTTTACTATAAATTCAATAAACATAAGAATGGAAAAGAAAAAATAAGATCTAAAATGTTAATAAAAAATACGTGAGTGCTGCAACCTAACAAC